TTCAAGCGTGGGTTGGACATGTATATGAGTGGGATTAGATGGTTATAAATAGGAGCTGCCTTGTATAGGCCAATAGGCCTTCTGCAGTTACCTTTATTCATATGTTCTTATGGCTGATTTGTGTGGTGGACGGCTGATTGAGGTGGCCGGTTGATTTGTGTGGTGGACAGCTGATTTGTGGGGTGGATGGCTGACTTGTGTGGTGGACGGTTGATTTGTGTGGTGGACAGCTGATTTGTGTAGTGGACGGCTTATTTGTGTGGTGGACGGCTTATTTGTGTGGTGGACAGCTGATTTGTGTGGTGGCCTATTGATTCGTGAGGTGGACAGCTGATTTGTGTAGTGGACGGCTTATTTGTGTGGTGGACGGCTTATTTGTAAGGTGGACGACTGATTTGTGTAGTGGACGGCTTATTTGTGTGGTGGACGGCTTATTTGTGTGGTGGACAGCTGATTTGTGTAGTGGACGGCTTATTTGTGTGGTGGACGGCTGATTTGTAAGGTGGACGACTGATTTGTGTGGAAGACGGTTCATTTGTGTGGCGGATGGCTGATGTGGGAGGTGGTTGGCGGATTTGTGTTGTGGACTACTGATTTGTGAGGTGGATGGCTGATTTGTGTGGTCGATGGTTGATTTGTGAGGTGGATGGCTGATTTGTGAGGTGGACGGTTGATTTGTGAGGTGGACGGTTGATTTGTGAGGTGGACGACTGATTTGTGAGGTGGACGGGTGATTTGTGTGGTGGACGGGTGATTTGTAAGGTGGACGGGTGATTTGTGAGGTGGACGGGTGATTTGTGTGGTGGATGGCTGATTTGTGTGGTTGATGGCTGATTTGTGAGGTGGATGGCTAATTTGTGAGGTGGACGGTTGATTTGTGTGGTGGACGGCTGATTTGTGAGGTGGACGGCTGATTTGTGAGGTGGATGGCTGATATGTGAGGTGGATGGCTGATTTGTGTGGTGGATGGCTGATTTGTGTGGGGGATGGCTGATTTGTGTGATGGATAGCTGATTTGTGTGGTGGATGGCTGAATTGTGTGGTGGATGGCAGATATGTGAGGTGGATGGCTGATTTGTGTGGTGGACAGCAGATTTGTGTGGTGGATGGCTGATTTGTATGGTGGATGGCTGATTTGTATGGTGGATGGCTGATTTGTATGTACTACATACAAATCACTTCCGTGCTTCAGGGATGGTACCACCTGGCCAGGTGTGTTATGGCCACATATAAAACAATTTGGGTAGAACGTTTTGCAAGTCATATGTGTCTTACATTTGCTCGTGCAATTAAGGTCATTGCATGAGAGTGATTTTAGCTATGATGGCAGTTGTATGTGTAGGTTGGGGAAGGAGTATAGCCAAAGAAGTCAACAGAATTAAAATAATATTACAGTGACACCTTGATTTTCGATTGACCTAACTTACTATATTTTCAAATTACGATGTAAATTTGGTTGGAAAATGAGACTCAACTAATGATAGTGTCGTCGACTAATGATCTTCGTTGATATGGGTTCGGGTCGACTGAGAGCATGATTCCTGGTACCATGGACCGACCTGCCTCAGTTTACCAGAGCCGCCTGCTTAGTGACAATCACTTACGTCCTCTAATTACTCAACACAAAGCTGCTATTAGGACAATATCCAACTCTGGCCCCAGGCATCACTCGGTACCCCTACTCAAATCTCTGAATATGTTAGACATTAAGTCACTGCACATTCTCTCATGTGTATTATACATATATAAAACGCTAAACTATAATGCCAATCCTGATCTCAAAAGCTTCATAAAAGGATGTAACAGAACCCATGAGCACCACACCAGAAATAAATACAGTTTTGATATTCCTAGAGTACGACTTAATCAAACTAGAAATGCTCTACAAATCAAAGGGCCCAGAATGTGGAATGACCTTCCCAACCATGTTAAAGACTGTACCTCTCTCAACCACTTTAAGTTAAAAACGAAGCTATACCTAATAAATTCCCTGTAACCTACCTTACCCTTCTATTGTCAACCAATGTCTGTTTTTTTTAAAGAGCGCTGTTTGTCGACATAATTGTATTTGTGCTGCTTTTTCATCTATGTTTTCATTTCTTGTTTTCATTCTACTCATTATGCTCAATTAGTATTAAGCTTGTCATTTAAGTTTATCATGCACGAAACGCTTTGCGTAATAGTGGCTTTAGGCATTGTTTGTACTAGCTCTACCTATAAGTCAACCATTCTTTGTAAAAATTTATTGTATGTATGTACCTTACCTAAATAAACATTTTATTTTATTTTTTATTTTATTTTTTTTTGTATGAAATTCCATTAATTTTGGGTATTTTTGTTTTTCGAACATAAAAGTAATTATTATATATCACACCATGGGTCCCAAGAAAGTCAGTGGTAAGGTTCAATCTAAGAAAACACATGTCAAAACACAGCACATCCAAAAAATTGGGAAAAAGAAAAAAGTGTCTAAAAGATTCGTTCAGTGGATGTCAGGTAGGCTGCTCCATTTTCTAAAAAAGAAAAATTAAAAGATAAAAAAATTGAAAAAATGTAAAAAAAAGAAAAAATGTCTAAAAGATTCATTCAATGGATGTCAGATAGGCTGCTCCATTTTCTATAAAAAAAATGAAAAATAAAAATAAATGAACAAATTTGAAAAAAGAAAAATTATCACTGCTTGATGTTATAATGGAAGGGACTCCCCTTCCAAACACTAACACCTCTCGGCCTCCCCCTCCTCACAGTCTTCCATACACCAACAAGTGTCATCAATAATGGTAAGCAATAACTTGTACATACTTTAATACTAAAGATTTGGATGAATTACGTATAAAATTTACTTTGAAATTAATTTTTTGGGGAGTGTGGAACGGATTAATTCAATTCCCATTATTTTTATAGGAAAATTCATTTCGACTTACGATATTTCAACTTACGATACATTTCTGGGAACGGATTACCATCGTAAGTCAAGGCCCCACTGTACATAGAAGAATAGTAGCAGAGCCGCCCATCTTCCTAAGGTTCCCCCAACGTCAAGAAAATGGTAAATTTAAAGTGTCCTCTCCTAACCTACCAGAGGACCCAAAACAGAAAATGGAACATTACATCACTTTTGCGAGCCGCTTCCATTTTCTAGTATGACAATTTTTGGCCTTGGGTAACACATACGAGCGAAAAGCGACTTTATTTTTTATGAAGACAGGTTAAGCAGAGACCAATACAGTATGTCCACTTGGGATGGCAGTGTAACAGAAACTTCTTTCTCTTGCAAATAATCGTGGTCTTTTTCTGATTTTCTGATATTCCGTGCTAAACTTTCTACTCAAATTTAAATTTGAGTCTCGCCAGGATTTAACCCTCAAACCGCTAGGGGCCCAAATGGAATTCACACCCACAGGCGCAACAAAAAAAAAATCCAAAAAATTCTTTCGTCTTATAGAAGTGTTCATTTTTGTTCCCTGATCACGGACAAAATAACAAAAAAATCGTAGGTGGCATATTTTAGCCGCAATAGAGTAGGGAAGTGTGGCAAAAAAGGGGCGTTGGCAGAGCCTTCGCCAGACGAGGTGTACTCCGCCCGAGCTGTCAGACGGCAGTTGCCACAAATATATTATTACCTAATTATTTCAATGTCTCTGATTGATTTTTTCTTAGTTTTTTGCAGTAATATTATTCCATACAGTGAATTGTGGTATATTTATATTATAAAATGTGTGAACCATTGCTGTACTCAAAATTATGGTGTGCATATTAGTGATTCAATTATTATGTTCATAAAACAATAAACAAATAGTTTTGCTGTTGTTACACTATATACACAGGTTATATATAAGTATTTGCATGTTTTGTACACCATAACGAACTACTAAGTTGGTCTTGTGAGTCAAAAAGCAACGAGGAGTGACCGCCAAACACCAGCCAGCCACTAAATGGCTGGCTGGTGTTTATAGTACCAAATAAATAGTGGTAAATAAATGGTAAATAGTGGTAAATCCTCGCACACAAGTACACCAGGGGGTTTGGTGTTGGCGCGAACACCACCACGAGCACCAAGACCACGGCTACGTCGTCTGCTGCTGCTGCTGGAGCTGTGTGAGGGTATGCTAGGTGCTGAGGCAGATTTATGTACTGTAGGCCTACCACGAACACCTCATGTTGAGGGGCCACTGTCGTTGTTGTCCACATGCTGTGAGAAATGCTGCCACCTGCTGTGGCGTGTTGCTGAGGCAGCAAAACTCCGCCTGGTAACACCACCGCTGCTCGTACTCGGGTCGTCCACACTACTCGTATCGGAGCCAATGTCACTGAAGCCCGAGAAAGATTCGTCACATGTACTGTCACTGAATAAACTACTAGCGTCTGGGGACATACATGATGGTGGTGATGATAACGGTGTTGACCCAGGGTGGCGAGGCAGGCCAGGCGAGGCACGTGTACCATACACGCTCGCCACATCTTCCAATTCCATCTCAACCTCACTCGTATCAGATCTCTGAGTAAGGTCTTTCTCTGGATCATAGTCTAGGTCATCATCCATACCACCGTCATCATACAAAATATCTCGTATTTTCTCCTCAGAGAGTCGTTTTCCATGACCCCGGGTAACCATGGAGTGGGAGCTCATAGAGGATGCGTCAGACATGGTTGCTGCTTTGAAACCGAGGCTCCCTACGGCCGCGGGGCATACTGGGATATTTTTTCAAGATGGCGGTCGATCACTGGGGCCCCCAGCCATCCATACCATAGCCGCGTCACCGTGCGCCAGTTTTGAATGGAACGTGAAAAATAAAAATACCCGGAAGCTCGTTGCGCAAACCAGACGTGGGCCTGCAGGCGCATTGCGCAGTTTAAGGGTTAAGGCCACCACAATAGTTTACTGGCGAACCAACATGCTGGAGAACACTTCAAGTGTGTTTAGATAGACAAAATTTATTGCATAATGCATATAAGTAAATTAAATTATTCTTTACTCTAATAAACTTTACCTTCCACAGCCCCAGAACCTAGTCATGATGGGTGACTCTCCTGATGCAGGTGTGAAGTTGGTGGACTTCGGGTTGTCGCGGGTTATTGCTCCGGGAGCAGAAATCAAACAAATCATGGGCACTCCAGACTATGTAGGTGAGTACTGCGAAACTAAAGTTTCGTGCTGTTAAATTTTTGTTATTTTATCCATATTCAACTTTACATAATTAATGCTTGTCATGTATGGGAGTAAGATCGGAAAGAAAATAAACAAATTGCATCCAAAAGAAACAAATTGCACCCATCCTTCTAAAATTTCATCCCACTAGAGGTCAAAATAGCCTCTGATCAGACCTCTGATCTGGGGTCCCTGACAGATCGGGCCCCTCAGCTGTCGGGCACCCGACCGCTGAGTGGACAGCGCTTCGGATTCGTAGTCCTAAAGTTCCAGGTTCGATCCCCGGTGGAGGTGGAGACAAATGGGCAAAAATTTTCTTTCACCCTAATGCCTCTGTTCACCTAGCAGTAAATAGGTATCTGGGAGTTAGACAGCTGCTACAGGCTGCTTTTTGTGGTGTATAACAAAAAGGAGGCCTGGTCGAGGACTGGGCCGTGGGGATGCTAAGCCCCGAAATCATCTCAAGATAACCCCTCATCTGCCCAAGTGTAAAATGTGAGAGGAATGTTATCAGAAACAGAAGAAGTTTTAATTGGGAAAAGCTTTCAGAAATGTTACATTTGATGTGTTAGATTTATGTGAGACAAAGATACAAATAAATAATAATAAAGAAATAAAAGGAGTATTGCAGTGCAGATGCTTGCTGTGCTCTCCATTCAAAGCTGTTTTACAGTCCACATAGACCCTCAGATGATGTAGAACACCACCTACAGGGAGCTAATTACATGGAGACCAAGTTTGTCATAACACATCGACAGTAACAACTCAATCAACTCATTAAATCACAAACAAAATGTCAAACAAACATTTCCTGCTGTGATGAAACTTGCATCTGGCAGCAGTGCCTGCTGCCAGATGCAAGTTCCAGTTACAGTATATTATTCATACCCATACTCAGCTAACCATGAATCCCAAAAGCAAGTTTGTGCAGGGTAAAAAGAACCCCAAATTTCCAAGCAAGGCACCCATCTAGTACAACACCGATAGCCATCGTTTCTCACCCTCTGGAGTCAGTGGCGGCATTGCTCTCCCCTCAACACCATCACCGAGCCAGGGGAATGTGTCCTCACAGACATCTGCAAATTCCTCACTAGCATCCCATTTCGTGCGCTTCAAACATGCTGTTGGTCCTTCACTGGAATTCCCTAACTGGAGTGAGAATCAGTGGTTCAATAAGCTATGTCTGGTCTTTGAGGATCAAATTACAATCATTCAAGGGGCCTTCAACATGATGAACAAACCAACTGTGCGGATCTTCAACTACAGCAACAAGAAATAACCCTTCTCTGTGAGGAGGTTAAAGCCAGTCAACCGAACCAACAACTACAGCTTTAAATAAACTGTTTCTGTGAGGAAATTGCGCATCTGAAAACCAATGATTCCATCAAAAAACAAGAGGAAGCGGTAGAAAAATGAATGTGCAATCAGTATTATAACCACCCAACAATCTATCTCCCAGGATGAACAAGACCAGCAAAAGTTACTGGACTCTGTTAATTTTGTTTTTTAATTTTGCCCCAAGGGGCGAGTTTATTAGGCAGCGCCACTCAACCTGTGAGTGAACTGCCATAGCAGCATGTACAACACCCCGCCCCCCAATAGAAAGAAAACCCGCTAGGTTGTTCATCTTGTCACTTGTACCCAGACACAGCTGGGACTTGCTTAACTGTCTCAAGTGAACAGCTTCTCAAACAAGAAGATTAACATTTCTCGCCCCTTAAAATCTTGCGTTATCTTGCAGTTGCAAAATGGAGGAATTTTTTAAAAGATTTTAGGAAGATTTAGGAAGATTTTAGGAAGATTTCCGTAATTGTATATTTGACTGTACTGTATCTATATTTGACAAATGGGATTTTCCTGACTCTAACAATGTGGGGTTCATTATTCTACACATATTTCTAATGCCTCTTAGATGTTCACACTCTCAGGTAGTGGTCAAGGCAGTGTCCATCACTTTCACCACACATTCTGCAACTCCGCTGCTCAACTGTTTATTGTTTCCATCCTGAATCTCCATGGATATTTGTATCCAAGGCCGATTCTTGCTATTACTGATTCCCTCCCACAGCCACCTTCTCTTCGTCCATAATGATTGGGATTGCCAGCTGTAACCATATTGTACCAGCATACAGATTCACTGATGTGTTCCTCAGTTACCTTGTCACGGTGATATTACCTGATAATACGTCTAATTTGTAGAAGAGTCTTGGGTATGAAGTATTCAATATGGTCTCCTTCAGCAGCCAGCACATCTGCTTGTTCATTTTCACAGATTCCAACATGAGAAGGGATCCATAGAAATTTAACGACTCTTCCCAGATTGGTTAGTACTCTCATAGCTTTCTTGATTTCAGCGACTATCGCAGGATTTTCTGCCTGATTTTTACTAAGGCTTTGTAGTGCTGCTGTTGAATCAGTGCAGATCACTGCACCGTTAGTGTTTCGCTCAAGGAATCTTAACGCCATAACAATGGCAGTTAGCACTGCTTGCGTTGAAGAGACATAGTTCTCAATACAGTACGTGCTTTTTCTTCATTTTCGTGTTGAAAGGCATTATTCCTAATTAGTGTATGATGCATCAGCCCTGCCATTGACATTATTAAATGACCCATCAGTGTAGAGTTGATCTAATTAATTTCCGACTTCTTTATAAATTTTCTCAAGATACTTATGCCTCATTTCTTGTGGTATCATGTTGGACTTTTTCGTTGTCATTTCATTGATAATAATCCTGCATGGGTCAAACTCCCAGGGAGGTAACTTCTCTACAGGCATGAGCTCACAGGCTTACTCAAACAGGTGATGTTCTTTGAGGTAGTAGACTGATCTGTGATGCCACTTTTTGCTTCTCCTGTTTCCTCCTGTAAGAAGCAAAGTTTTTTCTTGGCAATATCATTGTAATGGGGATCGCTGGCTATCTTAATTGCAAGCTTAGCTTTCAGTTCCTCAATTCTCCTTTTGACACTGGAGAGGGACAACTCCTTTCCTAGATTAAATGTTTTAGCATTTCTTGGGACTCCAAGAATGATTGTCATGACTTCATTTTGTATGCTTTCAAGATTTTTCATATCGCTTTGGGAATAAGTGCACAAAACTGATGCAGCATAGTCTATGACGGAGCACACATAGGCTGTGTTCATCATTTTAAGTATGGCAATAAAGGCCCAATGCCCATTCCAAGTCATGGCTTTCAATGCCCTGAGTCAACTTTTACATATTCCTATGAGTTGGTTGAGCTCCTCTTTCTTCCCCTTGTTAGAGCCGACAGTGACGCCAAGGTACCAATATTGGCCAACCCATTCAAGTATTTCACCATTAATTTATTTATATATTTATTTATTTATTTATTTATATACAAGAAGGTACATTGGGTTTATGAGAGCACATTGCATTGATGTTTTTACATTCTTGTAAAGCCACTAACATGCAAAGCATTTCAGGCAGGTCCTTAATCTAACATAACATTAAGTAGGTAATTTGTAGCAAAATTTAAAAATGTTAACAGATACATTGTAAGAAAATTTGAAGAAAATTAGTAGGTACATTATAGTAAAGTTTGAGGATTATCAACAGGTACATTGTAGCATAATTTGAGGATTATTTCTAAGTACATTGTAATCAAATTTGTGTTCAACATAACAACCATGATATAAGATGATAGCAGTGAATACAATGGTGAGGTTGTGTGGTTTAGGTACATATTTTTGGGGAGTGAGTAGCACAAAATATGGTGCGAGTTTGAAGCACTGGGTAGGAAACTATGAGGATGAAATTAGGTACTTTTCGGTTTTACATACTTTTGAATAAGGTGTAGGTTAGACAGCTTTTTAATTCATTAGGGGAGTGAGTTCCATAGACTAGGTCCCTTGATTTGCATAGAGTAAACACACAAATTTGGTTTGACTCTGGGGACATTAAAGATATATTTATTTCTGGTGTGGTGATTATGGGTTCTATTACAAGTGTCAACAAAGAGTTTCAGATCAGAATTTGCATTTAGGAACAAGGTAATTTGTAGTTCTTCATTTTCTCCCCAGTTGTGATAAGAATATGCTTTTGTCTTCTTTGTTACCTTGAGGTTACCTTGAGGTGATTCCGGGACTTAGCGACCCCACGACCCGGTCGTCGACCAGGCCTCCTGGTTGCTGGACTGGTCAACCAGGCTGTTGGATGCAGCTTCTCGCAGCCTGACGTATGAGTCACAGCCTGGATGATCAGGTATCCTTTGGAGGTGTTTGTCAAGTTCTCTCTTGAACACTACGAGAGGTCGGTCAGTTATGCCCCTTATGTGTAGCGGAAGCGTGTTGAACAGTCTCGGGCCTCTGACGTTGATAGAGTTTTCTCTCAGAGTATCTGTTGCACCTCTGCTCTTCAACAGGGGTATTCTGCACATCCTGCCATGCCTTCTGGTCTCATGTGATGTTATTTCTGTGTGCACGTTTGGGACCAGCCCCTCTACTATTTTCCATGTGTAAATTATTATGTATCTCTCCCGCCTGCGCTCAAGAGAATACAGATTTAGGCGCTTTAATCCATCCCAATAGTTTAGATGTTTTACTGAGTGGATTCTAGCAGTAAAAGATCTCTGCACGCTCTCCAGGTCAGCAATTTCTCCAGCTTTGAAAGAGGCTGTCAATGTGCAGCAGTATTCCACTCTAGAGAGCACTAGCGTCTTGAAAATTATCATCATCGGTATAGCATCTCTAGTGTGAAAGGTTCTTGTTATCCAACCTGTCATTTTTCTTGCAGTTGTGAAGGCTACTTTATTGTGTTCTTTAAATGTAAGGTCTTCCAACATCAGTACACCAAATCCTTTACATTGCCTTTCCGTTCTATGTTACGATTTGACTGAGTTTTGTACGTGGTTTCCGTTTTTATATTGTCATTTTTTCCGTAGCGCATGAGCTGAAACTTGTCTTCGTTAAACACCATGTTATTTTCTGTAGCCCATAGAAAGACCTGATTGACATCTGATTGG